CCCCCTCACTGGTACCAATTCCCCCTCACTGGTACCAATTCCCCCTCACTGGTACCAGGCCCCCCTCACCGGTACCAGTCCCCATCCTCTGCACTGAATGGGCACGGCCTGCCCTTCCCCGTTATCCCCAGACTGGACCAGTTCTGGCTTTCCCAGCACAGCCCCCCACCCTCGGGGCTGCTCCTCCAGAGCCGGGTCAGGATCCCCCCGCGCCGACCAGGGCCTGCTCCCCTCTCCCCTCCCACCACCGGGGGCTGCTCCCCCCGCACCAGGGGCTTCTCCCCCATCACCGGGGGTCTGCTCTCCCCAAAACAGGGCCTGTTCCCACCCCATAACCGGGGGCTGCTCCCCCCCGCCCGGGGTCTCCCCCTTTCCCCCGTCCGTCCCCCCCCGCCCCCGCTACCTTCTTGGGCGCCTTGGTGACGGTGGCCATGAAGGAATACTTCTCGGCGTCCTCCACCTCCTTGGCCTGCTTCTCCTCGCCGCCGGCGGGCTCCGGCACCGACATGGTGCTGCGGCGGGGCCGTGGGAGCGCGGGGGCAGGCTGCGGGCGGTGTGTGCCGGCGAGTCCCTCGGGTCCCTCGCGGTCCCTCAGGTCCTCTCAGGTCCCTTCAGGCCTCTCACGGTCCCTCGGGCCCCCTCAGGCCCCTCACGTCCGCTCACGGTCCCTCGGGTCCCGCCAGGCTCCTCACGGCCCCTCAGGTCCCTCACGGTCGCTCCGCTCCGGGGGCTGCGGCGGGACTGCGGCCGCCGCGCCGGGGGCGGAGCCGCCTGACGTCACCGCGCGCTGACGTCACCGCGCACCCGCCGGGCAGGTGAGGCCGCGCGACGCCAGAGGGAGGAGCGGGCGGGGGGCGTGGCGCCCCCTGGCGGAGCGGGGACGAGAGGGCGCGGAGAGGACGGGGCTGTGGATTGGGGGCGTGGCCAGAAGTGGGGGCGTGGCCAGAAGTGGGGGCGTGGCCAGAAGTGGGGGCGTGGTCAGAGGTGGGGGCGTGGCCAGAAGTGGGGGCGTGGTCAGAGGTGGGGGCGTGGCCAGGAAAACAATCGCGGACCGAATCCCAATTAAATAAAATTCTTATATGAATTAAATTTATATATATTATACAATTAAACTTTATATATGCCTTTATATATGTAACATATATTTATAAAATATATATTATATTATTGTATTTTTATATGTTTGCTATATTATATATGATATAATTATATTGTTATATATAATTAATATATTATATAATATATTATACATTATATAACACATATATTATATATGCAATACAAAATATATATTATATATAAAATCATATATATATTAGATATAATAATATATAATATATATTGCATATTGGTATATATATGCGCTGTATAGAGTATATAATAGAAATAATGTTATTATGTGCTATATATAATGTATAATATAGTTATGTATAATATAATTATATGCATAACATACATATCGTTATTAAATTATATAAATTAAATAAAATGATAATATAAATTTTAAAGAAATTATATATTAAGTATCATTTATTAATATATAATAATCAATATATGATTTAAATGATGCTTTAAATAAATTATTACATGAATTAAATTAAATATAAATATATAAATTAAATATATAGGTATATGTGGATTCATAAAATAAATAAATTTTATTAATTAAAGATGAATTGCATATAATTGAGTAAATGATATAATAATTGTATATATAATAATATTTAGTAATTGTGTAAATTAAAATAAATAGTTACACATGTTTATAAGTTGTATATCAAATATAAAAATTATATAAATTAACTATATAATTTTATATAAATTATATCTAAATATATATGCTAGTAATATTAATTAATTTTATTATTTAATTTTATTACATAATATTTATTGAATATTTTATTTAAATAATATTTTATTTAAATAATATTTTATTTAAATGATATTTTATTAAATAATATTATTTCATTTTATTGATTTAATAGATTAATTACATAAACGTTATGTCATTACACGTACATTGCACACACGTTATATATGTTTAGATGTAAATATTTTAATTAAATCAATCAGATGAATTGCTTTAATTCGATTATTAGTTAAATCCCGGGTCGGGGGTGCTGAGCCCCCTCTGCAGGTGCTTGGCCGGGCAGGGCCACCTTCCTCCCTCCTCCTCCTCCTCCTCCTCCCCGGGGTCTCCCTGCGGGGGGGTCTCCGCTGGCCCCTTTATTCCAGGGAGGGGGACGCCCTCAGCCCGTCCCCGGGGC